TCTTGAATACAAAAAAGAGCCTTTCCTGCAAACAGCATGATTTTAAAAAATTAATGATTGAGACAAAGAAATCCACCACTCACCAATTTACTGATTTACAAAAGACACAAATCATTATATGCCAAATGTACTTTTGTAAAATACAATGTTTTTAAGAAGAGTACAAATGTCCTAGTTTTTAAATCAAAGGAATAAAATGAGGTAAAGTTAAAAAAAAATCACTTGAGACAACTTTAAGACTCAAACTAAAAATGTATTTTATGTAAAAGCACATATACTGAATGTAAACACTGTAGGAATGTAGCAGTCAAAGAGAATACAAGGTATAATCAGAAAATAATTTCATTTGTCAATGTTCTCAAGTAACCCAAACACAGACACAAAGACACACATACTCCTAGAGTTTAATGCTGGACTAAAAATAGCACCTGGACAAGCAACAGAACAAATAAGTGTTTCCCATTTTAATTTCCCCACAAATATTCCTTCACCGTAAGAACTGGAGCAATTCCTTACATAATAAAAAATTTTAATATATGCTATGTCAATTCATCTCTATACTCAAGATGAAATCCTAATTAAAACCAAAAATTCACTAAATTAGGGTTTTATAGAGACATTCCATTTGTGAGGTGTTTTAGATATTTATAATTTTCAACTTGGCAGATAGAGACACACGTAGAGGAAAAATCTGAATATTGCAATAACTTAAAATTATACCAAGAACATCTTTTCACTGCAAAGCATATTTCCACATACTAAAAACCAGCTAGATATCACACCAAAATTTATGGTTTCTAATAAAATGATTAAACATTCTAATTGGTTTCTACAATAGAGCATACTATCTTCATTCAAAATATGAGTAGCTGTAAGGCTAACAATAATGTTAATAATAAATAAAGATAAAACAAATAGTAAAGGCTGTAAGCTTAACTATGAAAAACTGTTACTTTTAATCTCTTGTTCAACAGGCTAATGAATGTGCTTCAAGGTACTGAACAATATTTACTTCAAATCATCCAATAACGAAATTCAGGAGCCCAACTTTAATGAATATAAACAAGGTGTTTTCAGACTACAATGTTCACTCTAAATACCGTACACTAGTTAACAACAGTTCAAACACTAGAGATTCTTAAAAGTCAAAGCAGAGAAATACATAGTCTCCAACTGGAGTGCTAGTTTTCATGAAATATTTCAAATTTTGTTTTTTTAATTTAGGCAAAATTTCAAACTAAGGGATAAGTGAGACTTGGAAGACTATTAGGGAAAGCTTTCACATCACCACTATCTTCACAACTCTTCCCAAAGCGTTAGTGCTCACAGGGTTAAAAATGTCTCACAAATACCAGTCTGTAGTCTCTTCATAAGCGTACCAAACAATACAATGCCTGAGCAATCAAGACTCTACAAGAAAAAGACTCTACACAAGTGAAACATCATCATTTGTCCTGGTACTGAGCCCTATGCTGTCCAATCTGCCAGAGGCATTCATTCTACTCAGGAAATAAAATACAACATTTCAAGCATTCTGTATCAATTTTCTAATGCTATTTTCTCAAGATAACTCTGCATTAAAAAAAATTTTTTTTTAACGTGCAAAAGCCTATCATAAAAATGATATTCAAAACTGTAACTTTCAAACCAGAGGTGTTTCTGCATAGAAACTGGCGGGGCTCAAAAGAGGAAATGGTGTAGCAATGATGTAGGCCACGGTGAGTCAAATTTGTTTAAGTCTAAAAATATCTCTAGTTACAGAGTATGTAAGGACAAGGAAACTCTTCCATATTCTATACTATGCCTGAAAAGTAGGATATTCAAATAACATGTACCACATAATGTATACTCCAGCTATTTAAACCCAGGAAAATCATCATGGTAAGACATTTAAAATTAGCAAAAGCAAAATACATTTTTAAATGGGTCTCATTTTTAACAATTTTTTACACGAGCTGCTACCTTTCATATTGCAAGAACCTTAATATATGATTTATTTAATAACTGAAAATAAATGACACCGAATTTTATATTCTTTAAAGGGCTCTTTTCATGCATGCATTCTAATTCAAGGAGTCGCCTTTGCACACACCTCTCCTCCCTCTTACAACTAAGACAGCAACCAATTGTTGTATAACTCCTCCCTTCCCCCTTCAACACAGCTAACATACAAAGGAAAGGACTTTATTGTGCAAATTCAGTCCCGGCTACAGATCTTTGTTAAAAATCTGATTCAAAAACAGTCCTCATCTAATTTTCTTCAACCAGCATATTGAAAGCTATAAGATAATGAACACAATAGATGTATTCTTATTGCAAGAAGGTAAAGCCAAATTTTGAAAATGCTCTGACTTTGTTTTAAGGGTTTGGTCTCTTTGGCACAGAGGGAAAAAGCCAAATGAGCACCCTTCCCTGAATCTATTTTCTAACAAAAACACTGATCAAAATATAAATAATAAAAAAAGAATTGGCTCTGACCTTTCCCACCCCCAAAATGACTCTAAGCTGCCCTGCTCCCAAAGCTCTCTCTTAATCTTTTTTTTTAAATTCAAACACCTACTGCAAAAGCCTAATCACCATTAGAATATTCATTTTGAAGATGTTTTATATAATGTATTCCCAGTATACACCTCTTAATCCTGTAAAACAGTTATTAGTTAATGTTGTAATCAGCTAGGGAAAAGGGTAAAAACAGGCACTTTAACCTCAGTTTTAACATAGCTACTATATGGTTTTTCTCATTCTGATTTCTAAAAGACACCAGAAGTGAGTAATCTTACATTTTTCTTGCAGAGCCATCATTTGGTACACCTACCTTTTTATCCCTTTCATTTACATTACTCAGATTTAATTCCCCTCCCAGTAACTATCATACATTTTACAAAACGTTTTCTACAATAGTGATAAAAGGCCTTGGATTTATCCAAACAAGGTCTATTTTAGCTCCATAGCTGTATCAGCAAGAACATTTCTTGTATATGTTTAAGGATAAGAAACCAGAAATAGAGATTACCTGTTGGGGGTGGGAGTTGGAAGGGGAAGATGGGAACTGGGAATCCCAGGGTCAGGGGTGAAGGGGAGATTTTTCTCTGTACACCTTTCTACACTCTTTTAACACATAATAATGTACTAGCTGTTCAAAGAACTATCTTAAATTTGTTTAAAATTTTTAAGTCACTTTTAAAAATGTCTAGGGGGAAGTATGTTCTGCATAGTCTAATAAAAATATGTTTTCAGTATCATCTGCTTTTGCTCTGCAATAGGCAAGATATTCCTTTAAATGCAGCCGTGAGCAATACGCAGCTAGGCCCTCTTCAATACAGTAACGTTCTCCAGCCCGCGGCTTTCGAAGGCAGTTCTTATCCTCCGCCCCCCTCCTTCCCCTGTGCATTCTGAGATCTGCTCTGCTGATTCCCACATAAAGTGGGTCCTGGCCGCCATTTTAGAAAGTCATTCACACAAGCAGGAATGCAGCACCATATACTTAAAAACCTTCCAAAATTCCCTTGGACGATTTTCCCTTTCCTCTCCCTTAACCTCTCATCTTGCAGAGGGGTCAGACTCCCCGCGATAAGCATGCAGTGTCTCTGGGATCTGCATAATGCGAAACGACATGTCTGGCCACTTAACACTGAAGAGCAAATAGAATGCTGCAATGCACGTGTTTGCACGGCGGTGCACACAAATTTCCCAGACAGTACCATAAAATACACAAGGAGATAAAAATGAGCACATCTAACTTGAAAAATCTGCACCTAAAGGCTTTTTCCACTAAAACACTTCAAGTATACAGAGTGGGGGGCTGGGAAAGGGGTGGAGCAACGCCGGGGAGAGAAAGTTCCCATCTGATTCCCAACCGGGCCCGAGGTCTCTCTCCCCTTCTCTCACTGGGGCAGAGGCGAGGTTGTGCTCCCTGCCCCTCGCCTGGTTTCTCAGCACAACGTAGTAAACACCGGGCGAGTCCCTGGAAGCGCGCCTCCCCCAGCGCTGCGGAGGACAGCTTCAGCACGTTATGAATGGCTTCACTATTCCCCGCTCCTTTTCACACGCGGACACGCGCAAGCGCGCGCTCCACCGGCGAAGATTTAATACCCCAGTAACAGCAACCACCGACAGAATCAATGATCCTCCATTTGAAAGAGCGGTGCTCTGCTACCGCTGCTTCCATTTCCTTATCCAAGCTGCTGAAGAGCGAGCGACGCAACCTATTTTTCCCATGGTGACTCACTAATAAGGGCGCTCCATAATTTCCTTCACTCACTTGGTAGTAAGAGGAATTAAGAGTAAACCAAACTTAAAACCTTCCAGAATCTTGAATATCAGAAGAAACAGTAATATTCGAGGACAGAGATTTGCTAGTCCTTCTCAATTTGCACCAAGTGTAAGTAAGTCGTCATTTTCAGGACTTACTATTAAAGACTCTGTCCGTTATGGTACACATAACTTCACAAAGAAAACAAGCCCCAAACGCGACTAAATAAGATGTATCGGGAACATTCCTATATTTCACGGACAAAAAAATACTCTGGCAAATTAAAAAAAAAAAACAGATACATCTAACCTTGAAAAACTGGCACGTTCCTCATCATTGATTAAACAATTCTGAGTAGGAGGGAAACCATTCTTTTCAAGGCGGCTCTTCAGGGCTCACGCCAGCGGCCGCGGAGACAGGCACCCCGGGGCCTCCCAGCGCTGGAGTGAGGGGGCGACCCTCCCGCCTGAGGTGGGTCTCCCACTGCAAGCACTTGGTGCCCATCCTCCTCCTCCACGGACCCCAGAAAGCTGGAAGGCAGGCAGGCCAAAGAGCCGAAAGAGGCGCGCCAACTTGTTTTCAGACATCATCCTCTACCCAACCCCACAAAAACAAGGGGGGGAAAAATCAAAACACGTATTTTCGTTTGCCATTTCCATTTAGTTTCTAGGTCTGTAATCCCGTGAGAAGTCCTTAGAACGTGGCAGCCTCTTCCCGTTCCGAGAGGTTTCTACGTTACACCTACCAAGACTCTTGTTTTTGTATAACCTTTCCTCTCGCACAAAAAGCTCTCTAGGTCAGACATTTCCACGCGTCCGCAGGGCGAGGAGCGGGAGCTGCTGCGGGACTCCGGCCTTGGCCGGGCCAGGGCAGGGGCTCGGAGCCGGGGCCGCGGCGCGCAAGGACGCGACCCCACCGCTGCCTGGCCGGCGTGAGAGCACCCTCCCGGCGCTGCTCCGCGGGCACGACAGCCTCCTCCTTACTGGGAAGGGAGAGGGCGGCAGCCGGGCCGGCTCCACCGAGACCCGAGGCCCAACGTCGCGACGCGGGCCGAGCGGCGGCCAGGCACCGCGCGCCCCCGTCACCCGTCTGTGGGTCTAGCCCGGGTGCCCGCACCAGTTCCGCGCTCGGGGAGGGGCCGGCAACGGGCCGGAGCGGGCAGCGGCGCCCGAGGAGAGAGCGCGGCTCCGGGCCTCGTGTCACTCACCGTTTGAAATGCTCGATGATCTTCTCTTCCCGCACATTCTCTGGTAAGTTGCCCACCCAGAGGTGCCTGGTTTCCCGGACCATGCTGGGCGGTGTGCCGGCGACCGCTGGTGCGGGATCCCCCTCGCCGGCTTCGTATGAGCCCGTCAGCGCCGGGAGGCGGGCGCCAAGGCGGCGGCGGCGGCGGCTGCGGCGGTGGCGTCGGCAGCGGCGGCGACTCCTCCGGCTCCCCCCCGTGCAGAGACCATTCCTCTCCCCCAGGTTCTGACTCTAGGGCCTTGCAGCTCCGCTCTGTCGCCACCACACACCCGAAGCCGACCCTCGCGCTCCGGAGGCGCATGCGCCCGGGCAGCAGCGGGCGGGGGAGCCGGGAGGAGGGGCGAGCGGGACCCGGGCTGCAGCGACTTACGACGGAGCTGGCGCTGTGGCAGCCGGACGCTTCCCACCGGCGCGCGCGACCCGCCCCCCTCGCCGCGAGCACGCGCGCGTCCGCCCGCCCGCCGAGGCCAAAACGCTGAGTTCCTCCCAGCCGGTGCGCAGGCGCACGGGGGAGGGAGGAACGCGAGGCCTGGAAAGAAAGCTGGCTCGCTCGCTCGGTCACGGTGCGCAGGCGCGCACTCGCTCAGGGAACCGGGCCGCCAGGCAGGAGCTTAATCAGGGCACCGGAGTAGCATGTAGAAAGGCAAGAACTGCCTACAGCCTCTCGAGCTGGAGGGAGTCCCAGGCGCTGGCCTGGGGGAAGAAAAGAAAAAGAGGGTTGGTTTTGCCATGACTGCGTGTCAAACGGCTGCCAAGGGCTCTCTCCTACACGAGGCCAGGACCCCTTCCCCTGCTTACCCCTTGGGCCAGCTTCTGGCCGTTTCCGGGCCTGCTTGGGAAAGTGTCAAAACAAGGCCGCCCTTTCTCACCGCCTAGCTATGCAAAGACGGCTTCAGAACCCATCCTTCCCAAGTATCATTTGCTTGTAACGTTAAGCAACTTTATTTTATATAGGATCTTGCGAAACTTTTCTCAAGATAACCTAGCTGATCTTATGGTATACTAGGAATAGAACTGAAATGAGACTGTTGTCTGTCTTATACTCCCCTCAGAGGATTCAATATAATAGTATTTAAACAGAGGAAAGGATAGGACCTCAGGTCTTTCCAGGCCTAAAGGCCTTTAAAGTCTACAGTTGAACTTTTATATAAAGGTCAGTTTACATGAACCCCGAGGAAAACACACAATATTAAGGCAACTGTAGTGTATCCAGAAAAATGGACTTTTTAGAACAGTCAGGAACTCAGTTTTCTTTATAATTTTTTTTTAATCTCCGTAAATAAAATACCAGGTGTGCTTCAGGTACAGACCAGATTTTAAATATTTGGTCTGATTCACTGTCTCCTCAAATACAAGCCAACTTGTCATCAAACTATGATATTCTGAATTGGAAAATATAATTTCTACAATGAATGACACTAATACCTGGAGTCACCTGTGCATAGTTTGTTTTGTCCCACAGCTTGAGAATTTTTTTTTGTTTACCATACAGTCTAACATAAATTTCTTAATGATTGTCAGAGTATAAAACTGAGAGTCACATCAGTGTTTCTTGTATTTAATAGTCTATACTGTACTTAATAAGCTTGATCTCAGCAAGTCTGATCAGTCGAGATCATCTCTCTTCCCTCCTCAGGATATTCAGAAGGCTAAGCAAGCCCTTGCCTTAGTTGCAAAAATTACAATATAAGATGTGCTAGCTCAGGGGTCACCTTACCATCCATTGAGATGATTTTTATAATTTTGACAAGTTACCTCTAAAAAAACTCCTAGACTCTGAGCCAGGTAATTTAACTGGTTTTCTATGCTATTTCCTGGCCTATGTTTACATTTTCTATTTCAATATATATATATATTTTTTTTTACTGTTTTGGGAACTTCAGTCAGAGGTGGAAACAGAAGAGGTCTAGAAAAGTTAGAAACAGAGAAAGCGCTGCTACAATAATGGCATTCATTCATGATTTACTTACACTGTATTTTAGTGCCACCCCAGAAGCTGACCTTGTCTTCATGCAAATCAGTCAAATGGCATGGAAATTTTTGTTCTTGACAATATAATGGAATTGTTTCTTCAGTAAAAGTAAAAGCAAACAACCTGCATTCAGATGTAGGATTAGCCATTCACATTTGGCCATTTCTGTGTAACAACAACTACCACATAAGGAGTGTCAGGCCAGCACACTATTACCTAAACTCATGAGCTATACAGTTGTGTATATGTGGCTCTGGTTAGCATTGAACTGATATGCATTTTTCCTTGAAGCATGAATTTCAATACAGGCTCCTATGATTTGAAACACATTTTAAAATATGATGTAAATTACTCACTTAAAACCTGATAGGCTCTGAATTAGCTGAAACATCTTGGGAAAGACCAAAGTATCACCATAAAGAGCAAAGGAGTCTCAACTGAATTACATTAAAAGGGGCATTGACAAAGAAGAAGATTCAGAAAACAGAATCTTGTTATTAGATTTTTAAAAAGGGGGGTGCTTATCTCACCATGAGTGCAGTCTTCAGATAAAAATCATTCTGATGAAAAATTCAAAGGCTGAAAAAAAGGCCTTTTAGAAGCAAAATCATTCAAGAGACTAGAGTAATTATTAAATAGGATATTTTATATCCATCTGTGATTACCATAGAATAAAAGGATAAACTGGAACAAAATAGCCAATTAAGATTACTTAAGATATTTTCTCCCTGGCACAAGAATAAGGAGATATTAAGTGAAAATTAAAGGCAACATGTTTACCAATAGAAAAATGTTAAGGTAGCTCTCTTAGATCAGGGAAAAAAAAGTCGTCTTAACAGCAGTGCTCTTTCCTCACGTAAAAAGCAGAGTAGATACTTAATTTTTATAATGTAAATTTGAAATGGGCAATGTTATTTACACATATTTTTTAGTTCCCTACCTTTTGGGAAGTAGGAGAAGAAATAGTGGTAGAAGATTACTAACATACAAACTGTTTAACAAAGTTGAATCGAAGTTCTCCCAAAGACCCTTAGAGACCACACAACATCAAAAACACTAGGAGAAAATATCAAATTAAGAGAGTATTTCTCATTTTACCAGAGATTTGCAAACATCTGAGAAAGTTTCTATTTTACAATACAAAGGCCAGCAAAATCCCATTAAACATAGTTGGGGAGTACCTCATACTCAGATTCTCTTGAAGTGTTAGTTTTATCAAAACACCTGTTTTCGTAATTAGGGGCACCAAAAATAACAACCCAAGTATTCATTTTTAGTTACCTGGGTTTTAAAAAATCTGATACACACTTCTCAACAGAGAATTCTCAGTTTACAGAATGTCAACAGATAGCGGCCTAAGTAGACAAGCAGGCTATTTGGAGAGTAAAATAAATTTTAACACTTTTCAAATTTTCAAATTTTAAATGTGCTCCTAGGATGCCAAAAAAGTATTACTCTGATTTCAATTAAGGAGATTCATTTAAAGGAAAAATCGCTCATGTAGATGCTGGGTACAAATGAGAAATTCTGATAGGAAAGCTATCCATCTCAATAAAAGTTAATATTTGCAGATTAAAAGTAATGTTGCTGTTTCTTACTAATTCTGTCAGCATAACAAACTCTACTTGATGTTGAACTTTGGGGGATACTGAAAAACACAAACGGCATGATGACAGACATTATAATACAATGGAAGTAGCCCTTAGTTAAGAGTCAAAAATTCCAGTTCCAATTTTCTCTCTGGTTCCAATTTTCTCACTGATTATATGGCCTAAGCAAATCAATTAAATCCTCTCAATATCCTTATCTGCAAAATGAGGGTAAAGACATGTCTTCTCTACCTTGTAAGGTTGCTAGAAATATCAAATGAAATAATGCATGTAAAGGTATTTGTAAAATTATCATGAATACTATTAAGCTGCTCATTTCATGCTAATATCAAAAGTAAACATCAGTTGAAGTTAACATACTAATATCAATTTATTTAACATTTTCACAATGATAGCCAGGTCCTATACTCAAAACCAATATGCAGTGATTTCCTATCAAGTCCCTTGCACTTTTTGCTGACTTTTTCTATGGCAAAGATCTTAACAAAATCGATGAGTATGTGGCCCTCTGCACAGCCCCAAATCAAGTGTTTGATTTTCTCAGTACTTTTCATTTTTATTGTCAATGTGTCGGGAACATTGAGAAGCTTTCTCTATTTCTGTCTTTGTTACAAATATTTGCAAAAGCAGAATTTCTTCTAAGCATGTATCTCCATATATTTTCAACTGAAAGGCAACCCACTCTCCTGATTTTTTTAACAATAATTGAAAACAACAATAATTAAAAAAGATAAAAAAGAAGGGTGTGATCTCTGCTTTCATCTCTGATAAATAGATGAAGTGAATTTCTTCATTTGACTGTTAAAGATAATTACAAAGATGACATTAAAGCAGAGCAATCTGCAAAGGGAAATTAAAATCAATGTGTTTTTAATCAGGTATTATTTTCACACTGTGAGGAGCTCCTCTATTTAGCATGCTAGACTGGCTCAAAGAGTTCAGTCATGCATAATAGAAGCCCATTTGGGGAAAGCATGTGAACCTCAAACTCAGGCTTTGAATGCTGACCTACCCAACAAAGCAGATAAATTAATATCACCATTTAAACAGGAGGACAGAATGGTCACCAGATATTTAACAAGAATGTGGTTACAAATCTAGTCTCAAACTATTAAAATTAAACTGTTTCATGAGAAAACCCCTACTTAAAAGATAAGTACTTGTTCCTTAATTAGTTCTAAAATTATCAAAGCTCCAACTGCAGGAGAACTTGACGATACTAACAAACTCTATTATTAGAATCAGGTTTTTTGCCAAAACAGTGGGAAATAAAACAGACACCACTACTACATTATTCTGAGAAGCATCTGGCAAGTTCTGAGAGTCAAACGGTGAAGAGGGCAACCAGCCTTATTTTGATATAGCAGGCTCACTCTGGTGAAATTATACATAAAATATCAGAACTCCAATCAGATGAACAGTATTAGCTAAGCTAGTCCTTCTCTAAATCATTCTTCCAGCAAGCTAACACTTCATGATTTACTGTTCAATCCTCTAAATAATGGATTCCACACTGCTTTTAGTTTTCCAGAAATGAATATAATGGTTAATATTTTCTTTTTAAAACATCAATTATGTTTTTACATTTTCCTGGAAAGTTGCTAACTTTTCTTCCCTCTATGGGGAAATACTGCTAATATACTTAATATTTAGAATTATAAATACAATTCAATTTACTAATGTTTATAGCATTAATTAAAAAATAGATTGGAAGGCTATTCACAATATTAGTCATGGTTGTGCCTATGAGGATTTTTTAAAGTTTTTATTCATCTTTATTTTCTGAGCACCTCATGTATTGCTTTTATACATAGAAAAAGTCATAATAAAATGACTTTTGAAAGTCATCACCTGGGTTACTTTAAAGGTTCTTTCGAAATGTTGGTACTTGACTACATTAAAGCAACATATTTAACAGATCCCACATGAACAAAACGTTATTCTCTAATTCAGAGATTTCAACTGTTAAAAACTCTACTACTCCTAATCCACATGTGAGAAATAACTTTAAAATCTCTTCACAATAAGTGATATACATTAGCCAAAACACCACATGTTTAGGAGCTTGTAACTTTCAAACATCAGGAAGTAAGCAAAACATAATACAAATCAAGGCTACTGATTAACTCAGAGAAAATTATCACAGTGCACTTGATGTAATCTCAAAAAACAATAATACCAAATAAAATGAGCTTAGTAATTTGTTGTATGTGTACTGAAATTTTCAGCAGATTTTAAGCTTGTCTACTGCTCCTCTCTCAAAGGCTTAGCTCTTG